TGACATACTTTACATTTCCAGAGAGAATATGCTCCTGTAATATATCCTGAAATAAGGAACATTTCAGATTTATCCCCAACTGCTTATTGTAGCCAGCCAGGCTGTTTTAAGACTCAGTAAGAACTATTAGAATTTTAAATTTTAAACTTATAGAATTTTGCATTTTAAAATTTCAGGTAAGGAAACACTCTGGAACCATCAGCTGCTGGACTAAAGGCAACTTTGTGGATAGAAAATAAGACCCACTAGAAACTCAGAACACTTGGAAACTTCACTTTTGCATCACCACCTAATTATCATCAGCCACTATCCCACAGCCAGGCAGCCACAGATGAACCAAGAGTATCATGTGCAATTACTCTGACAATTATTTTTGCAATATAGTCTCAGTTCGCCCAGGTACCTTCTCTCCACTATTTTCTCAGCACTGCTAGTCATGCTATTCCTTTTGCTCATTTTCTTTCCATTTCCCCCTCAGTAAAACTTATCACCAATATTTCTTTTTCTTATTAATTTGTTATTTTGCCATCTTCCTCTTACATCCCCATAAACAAAACAAATCCAATCCAAATAAAGAGACATACTAGTTATCAGATCATTTACTTCAATGATTTACTACTTTTCTTCATTAGTTTGCATCTCTAATGTAGTGCTTGAGACATGGAATACTGTTTTAGGAGCTCACATGGTGGGAACTTCAATCATGTTTTGAAACCTATGATACTACAGGAATACCAACATTAAAAAGAAATTAACCAGTAAAAAAACCCCTCAAAATTTCAGTTATAATCAGATCATAAAAGAATCCCTGTATGACGCCAGGTGCTCTAGTTAAGAGGCTCTTCAATCAAGGAAGCACAATCTTTATTTTGCCATAGCTGCCTATAAATCCAAAAGGGAGATGTAAACATACATACACTAGACTAAACAATGGCTAAATAGCAGCCACTATTCACTCTCCCACTCACACATACCATGCAAGTCTGTGGGAAAAACTTACAATTGAAGCTAAGGAACTCAAGTAAAGTTTTCTGAAAATAACCCAGAGCTGACAAGTCAGTAGGAGGGCCTGGATGGTTTCAAGACACAGTTTTTAACCAAGGCTTGGACCTCCAACTGGTTTTTTGTGGTTTTTTTTTCTGTGCCTTTTTTTTTTTTTTTTAAACAAAGATTTAGATCCCATCCTTGGCTAAATTACTTATAAATTAATCAAATTAATTACTGAGTGGATAAGCAAGACACTGGACATGACAGAGTGAATGTCAGCCAGCCGACATGGTCTATGTTGTTTTAAAGAAATGCATCATTGTGGGTTTTAACAGATCTGTAGGGCACAAACACATTAAAAGACTAAAAAAATATTTCTCCCAGAACACTGAGTAATGTATGCATGTACATTTTGAGATTTTGGTTTTCTAGATTATAACAGAGATTATCAACTGCTGAAAATTACATTTCTGCCAGCTTTAATTTTTGATACATTGTTTCTTGCAGTCTGACAGATACTGAATTTAGCATCTAAGATCTCTGTAAGTATATATGCAATTTTGTGTAAAAGGTTTGATTGCTCTCAAAAATAATGCTCACATACATAAAAACTATGGAAGTCTTATTTGTGTAGTATTGAGATCTTCCAGTCAGCAAACTTTGAAAGACTGTTTTTGAAACCTCTGGAAATAAAATCTACCTGGGTGCACAGATACATAGCTAACTTGCTAACATTTCTGTCTTCCTAAAGCTGAACAGCGGTATTAATACAGGCTTGCACTGAGTAACAAAGAGGGAAGAAAATAAGCTGCGTAAAGTCTATTTTCATGCAGCTTTACAAACTGTGTTTAAATTCAACTAACTTCTATATTTTGTTAAGCACAGGTAAGCATGATGTATACGTGTCCTCGTGTACTTTTTTTGGTTACCACTGGCACTACGTTTAGCATCCAAAATCCTAGACACTGAGAAGTTTAGAGCATTTTCTATTAACAGTCCCATACTTTTCTAAATTATATACTGCATATCTCATATTCTGCAAAATATAAAACCATCACAGATGTGTGCTAAGAACTAGTTCCAAAGTAAAAGGAAACTTTTTAATTAAGGAAACATTGACTTTTATGGTTGCAAATCAGAAGACCATTTTACTAAATGCTTAGCCTGTAGATTATGCTTCTTTAATTCACAAATTGACTGTACTAGGTCACCTTTGAGTAATGGAAATCTCTGTTTAAACATTTTTTTGGCAATGGGCACAAAGCATTAGATCTCATTTCCAAGACTTACCAGCTGCGTTTTGTCATTAACATTTATTAACAATCTAAGATATGGCTTTCAGCGTCTAATCCTCACTACACAAATGTTTTGTATAGTTCTCTAGAGAGCTTTGGTGTGACAAATTACTGGCACAGATTACAGCCCTGTGGCTATTCACCAGAGGCAATACAAAATTAACATGGTACTAATCCAATTTAAACAAGAAATTGGTCAAACTATGCACAATTGCACAAATCATCTGAACTAAAGCAAATCTAGAATTCCTGAAGCAACAGTTTCCAAATTCATATTTAAAACACAGTAAATGGTTTTTGATCAGCTCTGCCTCAACTTTTATTTGGCTCTTTAAAGTTAACTTAAATCCTTTATCAATAGACTAAGTATAAGATGAAGCACAGGAGTATAAAAACCACAAGAAACTAGTTTGATAGTGTTTGTTCTGTAGTAGAAAAGTTTTAGGTAGCATAATTCACTGTACATGCCAACTTAGTTTATGTTCCAGACTTTCAGCAAGAGGCTCAGCTGAAACCATCTACATATGTTACTAAATTCAGATAGTCAGGTCTATGGTGATGAAATCTATAATAAAAATCTGGTAGTGATATGAACCAGTGTTAATCCGGCAAGCAACAATCTTCTCTTTTATTCTACAGGAATTTTTAAATACGGCAGTAAAGAAAAAATGGCCTGGACTTTTCATGGCTGCTGAAGAAAACTTAATCAGAGAGATAAGACTTATATTCCTCCTTCTATCATCTTGTCAAGCACAGATATTTCAGAAATTGGGATAACAATTCTTGACTCCTTTTATCACTAGGCAGAAAAGGACCAATTTGAAGACAGCAAATAAAGATGAGTTTTTAATTATTAATAGTGATTATACAGCACATTCACTCTCTTCAAGGAGAAATACAGATTAAAAAAAGTAATTAACAGTTAGGAGAGGGTGGGCTTAGGTTCTTACTCTCCAAAAACTACTCTAGCAGTAAGAATGAAGTAGGAACTATAATCCTTAAAAAAACCCCCATACCAAAAGAAAGCCACTTTTTCCTCAATCAGAAAGTAGGTATAACTACAGGTAATAAACAGTTACTAAACTTGAATTCTGAAGCTTTATATCTGTGTCAAGGTTTGTTCAGCAACAGGGATTAATGATTTACTAATTTGTTTGTCAAGGCCGATGGAAATGCTCACCATTCTTAAGTACGCTGTTTAGCTAATGTTTACAGTAATTCATGAAAGACAGGCAATGACAGAAATCATGGAGGCCTATGGATTCAGCGAGGGTGAAGCTGCTACTCCTGCAAGTTTGAACAGAGTATTTTCAAGTCATATGTTGTCTAAGACTGGGCCTGATTCTATCTCAAACCACTCAAGCAGAAAACATCACAAGCAAGAAAGCTGTGGGAGGAAGACAGACCAAGCTCTGCAGAGGCAGGATGGTGGACTGTTTTTCAAACTTGCTTTCCTCTGCGACTGCAACTGCCCCTGCAACCACCAGAGGGGCCCCTGAGGGACAAAGCTCTTGATTATGCAAGTGCGAGGTAGCCCTTGATTGACAGCACCCCCTCGAATTTTCTGGAACCCCTGATTGTGCAAACGTGAGGTAGTCACCACCTCTTGGGTAGTCCCAGACTGACTGGACTCTATAAAAGGTGAGTGCGTATGCACACCTTGGTCGACCCACCACCTGAGGACCTGAACTGCTGAACTCCGGGTGAAGACATCAATGTGGGATACAAAGGGTGGTGAAATCCCCTCCTTTTTCTATCTCCGCTTTTCTTCTCTTTCTTTCTCTTTCCTCTCTCCTTCTTGTTCTAGGTTGTTTAAGATAAGGAATTGATATCGGTACTGCCTATTACTTAATAGCATCTTTACACCTATGCCTTAGCCATTGTCCTTGTTAAGGTAAGGAGTTGCCATTGATACCAAAGCCTCCATGCCTGCAGTGTCTGTTCATTGTTGATGAGTGTTGGGTTAGGGAGACAAAAAATAAACAATTTTTGTCTTGAACCGTTCCTCTGAGTCACGTGTGCGACTCCACTGCCTTTTTGCAGCTCTGCCAAGCAGAGAGCACCCTCTCGGGGGATTCAAAAGATTCACCTTCCCCACCACCCACCACATGGGACAGGACATATGTGTATGACTATATATACATACCCACACAAGCTCTGTTAAAAAACCAGCAGTAAAAAAGCATGCCACGTTAGTATGAGATTAGGATTTCCAAAATCAGGAGAAAGTTTCACTTTCAGTTTAAATTTTCTGCACGTTTACTTCATTTTACAGCATTCAGCAAACCTTAAACCATTGTTTCTAAAAGCTAAGATTTCTCATCTTTAATCTTCATTCATTTTACAATTAAAACACAGAACAGTTAGGACTGTAACTGACCAAGATGGTTGGGACAAGAACAAAATATTTTCTCTGGAAGTGCTGACTGACCATTATATAGAATGAAATTAATAAAAAAGCTTTCCATTTTTAAATCATGCCTGCTTTTAACTTTGCCAACCTTCTTTGCAGACCTGATCCTTGGTCTTTTCTGAGGTCAATGTGAAACTCAAATCAGTTTTGCTGTTCCATTTTTGTAAAAAGCATAGCTCAGAGCTTTAATTTCGCAAAGACAAACACTAATAAAAGAAAACTGCCAGTAGTTAACAGTAATTATAAATAGATTCCAACACTACGTTAACTTGGTTGTCTCATGTGACAAAAGAAAACCTGCATACCTGTTTTAACCTTGCAAGTTCTTTCAAAGCCCTTGTCCATTGTTGTTTGTAGTGGAGCTTTGACTTGGTAGCTGACTCTAACTTTCTTTCAAGTTCAACCTAAAAGCAATTAAAATCATATCAGCTGAAGCAATAACAACAGTAACAATCACTGAAAGATGTATATATACAAAGGGTCTGGTTTAAGAAAAGTGTTTATGTAGTGTAACATACAACATCATCTAAAGCTGTTATATAATATAACATAAATATTATGGCACATGAACATTTTCTTGTTTAAAATATAGCCTTATTTTTATTGGATAGCCATCTATACAAAAAGAAAAAGATTAGTTTTTAGCACTAAGTCTGCTGACGTAACCTTTAAATTTAAGATTCTCAAATTAGCACACACCCCCCTTTTTTTCTTCTTCAAAGTAAGATTATAAACACTAATTTAACAGAAACACTGATGGATAAATCTTGCCTTTAAAAAGCGTGTAGATTTTTTTTTTCTTTCCTGCAGCTGATGGAAGATATGTGCTACATCCTTTTCTCTGAAATAGATATCTGTTCAAACCGTTCCTTAAAATTTATGTATCTAGTATGAATCTTTGATCTTACGGCCTAAATATATCTTTGAAAAAATGCTACATACTAAAAAAATTAATTGTATTCTGTGCAAAAAAATTTAGTATTAAAAGGCAAATGAAAACAGTTATGAAGCACATAGAATACAGTAACCTGAAAAATGAAGCATTTTTAATTAACAACTGAGGCAATGATATTTTCTTTTAATCAGACAAATATTACTTACCATTAAATTTGTGAAGGTCTTAATGCACTGATTTTTTTTTTAAATCTAACAAAAATAGCCAATCTAAAAATATTTAAGCTAAAAGCTTAAAAAGTCTGTAGAGATAGAAACATATTTTGAATCATTTGCTTGCATTATTAGAAGTCATTCAAACATACAGTAACATGCAAATGGGCCATATAACTGAGTGAATTTTATGCCAAGAAACCTGGTCCAATCTTTTACAGCTTATTCAGTCAACAATTTGACTTAAACCTCATAATAATTCTGAGCATAAAATGCCCATATCTGTGGTTTTAATTAAACAAATATCCTCTACTGAAGGCATGTATGGTTTCTAAGAAATCAACTTACAACAGTGATTTCATTCCACTGATAAGTAACACAATCTCTTTTCAGAAATACTTAATAAAAAAAACCAGCACACATAATGGAATGCTAGTCTAAATTAATCCTCACAAGAAAATCTTCATCCTTATTTAGTTTTATAAACAGAATGCTCAGAGTCCCCAGCATTAAATCATGATGGTAGCAATTTAAATATATAGGTTAGTTTTTTTCCTGCCTTATTCTCTAACACTGCTGCTTCCTCTATAGAAATAAGGCCACTCAGCCTTATTTGTGTCTGAGTATTTAAAGTCTGAAGAAATTGTTGGAAAAAGCCAAACAAAATGGACAAATTAACCAGTTTATCATGCAAGTTTATTCTGCAACTCCGTTATCAGTGAATGGACCACTGTGACAGTTTTTAAAGACTAGAAAAATCCAAGATACCTTTTCTAAAGTGAGAAGATTTATTTCTGATTGTAGCTGGATTTCTGGTTTGCTACTTTGCTGTTCTTTGTATTGCTGGAACTCCTTCTCCAAAATTTTATGCTTATTTTCTGCTTCATAAAGCTACATTAAAGATATCAAGATATAATGCAAGTTAGCAGAAAACCCCATTCACAGGCAAAGAATTAGGTTACAGAACTTAAGTTACTCCTTAGTCCCTGGAACAAATATCTTACGGTCAATTATCTGACATAAAACAGACACTGAAAGCTACACATTCATAATTAATGTTTTCTTAATGATGGCATACAGTAATGTTTTAATAGGAAGAATTTTAAAGAGGATCTTTGCTCAGTACTAGAAAGAAAAAACAAGTCTGTCCTCATATACGGAAGATCAAGATTTATAAACACTGCTGTTCACATTGCTAAAATGACTTGCAGAAGAAACACAGGAAACAAAACTATTTAGATTTACACACATCTTTTAAAGAAAGCCAACAGTGTTATCTACTATATGAAGTTTTATTACTTACTCAATTTCACCAGCATGACTTGTTTAGGAACGTCTGGAAGAAGAAACAACTAATACTTTGTACAGCCAAATAATGATTTAGAAGAAAGGCTCAATGTGACTAATGACTTAATGTACCTCTGTCCTACTCTGTGCTTCCACAGTTTCATGAAGATTTTGTAGAGAGCTTTCCTTTTCATCTTAAAATGGCCAATTTGAAATAATACACAATTACTTTGCTACAAAGAAAATAAGTCAAATGTTTAACAGCATTTTTTATTACACTATATTAAAAATAAGAATTTTTTATGTTTTGTAAGAGTAGCTTACATACTTCTTCTGTTAAATGTTATTCACCTATAAATACCTTAATACACCTGATTGAACTGATGCATTCCATCACACAATATGATCCCAAATGCTGCACTTGTATTTATGACGAAGTACTTAATGCAAGTATTTCCATGAATTTTATGCAACAATTTAAAATACTGGGTGAAAATGCTTCAGAAAATGCATTTCTCTTTCAAAGCCTACAACTTCTTCTATTAGTACATCAATATTTTAATTCTTTGGATCTCCTAATTGGGCTCCTCTATTCTTCTTCCAAAACTTCACTTTTTGTGTCTATCATTTTTACAGCATTGATGTGAGAAAGCAAAGATGCTTCCTAATGAGCCACACAAAAACGTGGTTCACTGCAGTTACTTCTCAGGTATAACTGCAACAGCCAACTTTGACAAAAGATACTATTGTTCCTCACCTTTCCATTTTTACCAATAGCAGACATACAGACATGACACCTATAACAAAGACAGTAACTAATTTCTTTAGCTATAAAAAATGCCAGGTCTCCCTAGAACTTCTACAATAATGTTTAATTTGTTGTTTGATTCTGAAAACACTTTCAAAAATTGAATTTCTCATGAGACCTCAGGTTGTGGACTGTTAGGGAACTGCACAGATCACACAAATAAAGCACAACTTCCTTATTCAGGAAGTAAGAGTGATGTTCTTTAAGGTGGATGCTTCAAGGATATCCTCTTGCACATAGTGGGCCTTACCTCCAAACAAGTCAGACATTTAGAGAACTCTACAATTCAAGTGTGAAAATTATGTATTGACACATCTCCTTAAATGGTAAGGAATAAGTCAAAGCATACTGTTTAGAACTACTATAATTTACTCCAGAACATTCCTTGTTAAAAAAACCCAAAACACACAAACAAAAAACCCACACTCAAAAACGTAAAAAAAGAGGCCCATCAGAACTGGTACCAACAGGAATTTTCTGCTTTTTTTCTGCACATTACAAAAGGGAACCATCCTACAGAGAGACTCCAAAGCAAACAAACAAAACCCCACCCCACACCCAGCAAAGTAAAACAAAAAAGATTGTCTTATGCAAAATACATGGTAACAACGACCTCATACTGAAGCATGAGGGAGATTCAGAATAGCAGGAACAGCACAAAGAAGGACAGACAGGATAATCAGCTGGAAGGAATGGCCTTCATACAAAGACAAGACATAGCAGGGCTCATGTTTGGAAGAGACAGTATGACAGACAACTAAGCAACCACGAACGGTATGTAGCACAAGCACTAAAGGATTCGTCACAATTATTAAGCAACAAGCTTAACGTGAACAGAAAGAAGTTTTTAAGTATACAACACATAATTAAACTTTAGAACTCACTGCCACAGGATGTTGCAATGCTAAAAATAGAAATACTTTATAAAAGGGATCAGATGAGTTCATGAAGAATACTTTCACTGATGGCTAGTAAATATGAAATGCTGCCTCTGGCTGAGGGTACCTGTAACTCTTTATGGCATTGCTGGATATACCAAAATTTTATTTTCTCATTGTCCCAGTTCTTATTTTCTTGCCCTCTAAATCCAACCATTGCTGCAACAGAACACTGAACTAACTGGATCTTTGGTGTGATACAGTATATCTGTTCTGAACAGGAAAAAATAAAGTGATAGTGATGGTATTGCAACCTAGCTAAAAAAAAAGTTACTGAGTCAAAAGAATGAATTTGGAAGATGTGGCCTAGGTGGTGGCATTTGGCCACTTGAGCCTGAAGAACTAACTATTGGCTATCTTGTCTGGACTGATACAGCATTGGTAGGTGCCCACAACACATCTACGATGCAGAAGTGATCCACTTACCTCTTTAAAGAGGACTGCATTCTGCAGTTTGAAACTACTCATCTCAATTTAATGATTGTTCAGTAGAACTACCAAAATTAGCATCTTCTAGATTAGCAGCATTTTTTGTACTTATATTTTAAAAGTTCACTGTACTGTGGTTAACATATGCTGACTTGAAAAGACGTAGGTTAGTATCAGTGTTTAATATTAAACTGAAAATCCCCACAGAAACCCAGCACGACTCTTCCTAATACAAAAATATGCCTTTGGCTGATACAGTTCTTTAACTAGTCAAAGCTATTGTGGGATTACCACTATCACATATCATAAATGAAAAGCACCAGAGCAAGCAATTCATCTACACATGCACATTACTAAGATTTAATCTACTTAACAACAAATTGTCTAATATTGTGACTGCTCAAAAAACCTAGTACTAACTTATAAAATTTTACAGTATGCTTTAACAGTCAAGAAAAATAGCTAGACTAGCCTTGTCATTAGTGCAAAAGCTATCTTACAGGACAAAAGAACGTGATCTAGATTTTCTCAGTTTAATGAAACTACAACTTTCAGAATAGAAGGTCACAATAACAAGATAATTCTCCCCCCAACTCCCTCCTCAATAAGGATAATAGAAATACTCTTTTGCAATGGAAGAATAAAACGGACAGCATAGTCAAGCTACCTATATGTTTTGCTAGATGTTAATTGCTAACAATTTATTAAGTTACTGAAATGTATACTACTGTTCAGGTTCCACATGTACGTTTGTAATCGCAGTTTTATCTTCAGTGTTAAAAAAAAAACCAAAACCAAACCAAAACCAAAACCACTGCATTGCAAACTGGCCCTACTACTGAGCAAGGCTGACGGAGATGGATCCCAGCACATAGCTCACCAAACAATGAAGATAAAATGTTTATTACAAAGTTGCCAGAATGCACTTGGCTCAAACCCATTGCTCAACTTAGTGTACTTATTTTTAAAAATGGTTACTTAAATAAGTAAATGGTTAAGACAGAACATTTGAGTGTACTTACCTGCTGCTGTGAGCGAAGCTTGTCTTCTTCCAGCTGTTTGATTTTTGACCTTTCTAGCTCAACCTGGTGTGCACATTCTTCTCTGGCTCGCCGCACAGAATCCTGTAGCTCCTGTAGAACACGTTCATGCTCTGCTTGCAACTCCTTCTTTACTCTCTGAAGCTTAAAAATGAGACATATTTATATTAATCCATAGGTGCAAGACCTTTATTTTAAGGGCCTTTCTTACAACTGTTATTACTATTCATGACAGAAAAAAATTGTTACACATTTTAGAAATTAAACAATAGAAATTCCATTGTTATCTCTATGTTTGCTATATACTCTTTTTATTGGCTTTCAGTTTAACTAATGACCTGCAAATTACTGTATTTGGGCTACAAATATACTCTGGCTTGACTGTTTTAAAAACCGGTGCTATCTGTATCCCTACTGTACTTTCTATGTGGGATTGCTAAAAGCAAATTTTATATCCACCTTTCTCCTACAAACTAAAAAGCTAAATATACCCCTTAACTGCAGAAACAGTGAAGTCACAGCTACAGCTAAGATGCCTTTAGATCAGTAAGACTGCACTCTTCAAACTGAGCATGTTGAGAGAATTTGTCATTGAGCTAAACAGGAAAACAGTCCTTGACATGTTTGAACTTTCTAGAATGATGTTACTGGCCCAGATAACTGCTAGCTGAATAGAAACCTCTCCAAATGGCCCATTTATCAAACTGTGTAATTGCTAAATGAACCCTACATCATTTTGTCTAGACACTTTTGGAATCCACTGATTTTTATTATCTCTAAACCCTCAAGTCAGAATCTCACTAAATTTAGAGCAAGTTTTGAGACAAACACATATGAGATTCAAAATAAATACTTTTACTCAGACTGAAATGCACTTGGCCAAACCTAATCACCAGATTTTTAGCATAGATAGTATCTGACTTTACATTTAACATTTACAGCACAAACTGCATCCTGAGGGGTATAGATAGCCTGTGTACAGACAAGGACACAGGCTCAACCAGCCAGTCACTGTGTTGGGTGCTTTCTTAACTTTGTTCACAAGCATTGGAGGGATTGCTATGGTAAAAAGATTAATCTGAGCTACAGGAGAAAAGGGAGAGTTTGTTGGACTGCTAAATCACCACAGCTGTTTACCTATATAATTGTGAGTTTGTTCTGAAGTACAAACATAGGCAGTTTATTTTCTTTCTTTCTCTTTTCACATGACTAGCTTCCCTGAGGACTTGCACCCCATTTCCTCATCTTGGGGGTGTTCAGTGGGATCTAGAAACAGTGGTAGTTACTGGTTTCTCCCACATCTTCTTTGGCCCTGTCACTACAAAAAAAATACGAAATGGGAACTCTTATCAGATTGCTGGATAACAACGGACAATTGCAGTTTCTCCCAGCTCTCCTTGTTACCTTCTCCTATTTCAATGGTTAATCTAGCAATTATTGTTTGAAGTAAGGCACTCTTGTACACAGGCCCAATGTTCATGTGACAATACTAAACTGAAAATTGAGATATGCTAATGTTATATAAATGTCTCCACTGACACTGATTCTGTTAAGAATAGAAAATATACAGTTCTGTAATTCTAGCGACCCACTTAAAAGTTCATTGTATTCCCATTTCAGTAAAAAAGTGTAGTTGTAATAGAACTTGGCTTAAATTATTAGTGCTTCTCTATATATCAGTAGGAATGCAGGTACTTCAGTTCTTATACACAGGTCACAATTGTCTCTACATGAAACCTCAAACCTTAGAGAAATAGCTCACGTAATTGCATTGTTTAAAATCACCAAACACTATTTACCTCTGATTCAGCACTAAAAAGCTGTCGTTCTCGCTTATCTAGATCTCTCAGGGTTTTCTGAAGCTGTTCTTCCAAAACAGTATATTCTGCTACCTAAAAGAACAACAACAACAAAAGAAAAGGCATTTTTTTTCTTGCAATAATGTTTTAGGTGGGTGAAGAATTTACTCTTGCTATGGTATAAAATATTGACAATTTTTGTTTGGAAGTTCACATATAAAACAAATCTCTAGCTCAATGAGGAAATCACAATGGAGAGCCTTTCTTTCTAATAACATAAAATGCACAGCTGGGCTGTAGAAGTGCTTTTTGACCATGCAAGTGAAAGGCAATTAAAGTTAAAGAGCCCCCATAGACAGCAAGCTAACCAAAAGGATTCCTAACAAGTATTCTATGATTAAGGGCTGCTTTTAATTTTTTGCACTGTTGTAGACTAGATGCATGCATACCAGTAGGTGTGAAGACTAACCACAGAACCTTTGTTCTACGTCATACTTACAAAACATCTTGTCAAATTTTATAGTGTTGTGAGATTTATAATGAGACTTTCAGCAAGTATGAGTTTCCTTACCTTTTTCTTCACTACTGCTTCTCTCTCTCTATCTCTTTTCTTCCATTCTTCTGCAAGTGCTTGCATATGGGCCACTTCCTTCTTTTTAAGCTTTTAAGAGGAGAGAAAGAAAAAAAAAAAAAAAAGGAACAAAACCCCCAAACCAGAAAACCAAATCACAACTGTTGGAAGTGCAACTCTAAAGGAGAGAGTACTAGCAGAACTAAGCCTTGAAGCAAAAGAATTAAAAACTAACTTTTGTACACTGACTTATATAACTCAAGGTATGATTCTGATAGTGAAAGATATTTCTTACCCTTAAGTATAAAATGCAAAGTAAGCCCAAGTTTGAGAAAGTACCCTAACAGACACAAGATTCTTAGTGTCTTTTTAAAAGAAGCATGCAACTCTAAGAACACCTAGAATGACTTCAAGAGTAGAAACACAGTGATAGATTTGGACTAACAATAAAGAAATGCAGTGCTAATATTTAACACCAATAATCTGAATCTTGAGTATCTACTGTACTTCATAAACAGTAAGGGGAAATTGTGAAGGGGGTATTGTGTATTTCACTACCTATTTCAGTCACTTAACAGAAAAGAATTAACCTTCTTCCTTAAGATTATGGAAGATATTTGTGTATATCTCAAGTTTTAATATTCCACATGAACAAAATTCAGCTCTTATTTGAAACAGTGGCAACATTTAAGAAAAATGCAGTTAGTATTACTCTCAACAATTCTGTTAAAGCTTGTCTGGCAGTCATGCAGTTTAGAAAACAGAAAGAGTAAAAACCTGATTTTCAAATATGTCCTCTTGCATTTCCTTCCACATTTCTAATTCCAGTGCTGCTTTGTATTCAAGAGTTTCCCGAGGTTCTCGATGATTTTCTGGGGTACGACGAGGCTGAGTACGAGGGACATGCTGTTGTTGACCAGCACCTACACACTGATACAATAACAGTAGATTTTTGACTGGAAACCCAACTTTTCAAAGAAGTGTTCAAGGAAATAGGATAAGATTTTGTAAAATTTACTTGAGATGAATCTGACACCAGAACTTCTTGCATTTTGACAAGCCCGTAGTCTTCCAAAGTGATAGCATATGAAAGCTCTGCTATTCTGTTGCCTGACCTATGAATAGCATTAGAATGTTATTTTAATGAAAACTGTCTTAAAAATACAGAAAGTGAATTATAAGACAACACACAAAACACCAAAACTGAAGTGCCAATAGGTTCCATGTAAGCTCAGAAAGTCTAAACAGTTGCCTAAGTTGGAGCCCAAACACACTCTCCCATGTATATTGTTTTAACTTAGGGACTGATTCATACACCTACATCTGAATTTAACAGATAGCTTGTCATTGGGAACCTATTTAACTAACAGCTTACTATAATCAACACATACCTGTAACAAGAGAATGATCAAAAATCTTTCTAACAAATATACCTGTTGACTACAGGCATTGCTGCTGACTTCATTCTAAGATACTCAATGAACTTCACTGGTCTTGCTTTTTTAAATGTTAACAGTAACTTTCTAGTTATCCACACTGTAGTAAGTCACTTAGCATATCATATGTGGTATGCCATCCTTGGATTACTAAAAAAACACATTTCTGGAAGCTTCAGCACAGAGAACTGACAACTTTAAATCCACTTATAGGTTAAATAAAGTCCTGCTCTTGTACACTGAAAAAATGTCTAGGTAAGAAATATTTTAATTAACTAATTTGAAATTAGTTGCAGTTTCTGCTTAAGTAGAAAAGTTTGTCTCTGTCTCATCTCTAATCATAGACAAAATGTAGTAAACAACAGTGGTTTTCTACACAGATATTAAGAAATATGCACAAATCATGTAACTGAAAGTCATCACTAGTCTAACATGAAAGTACACTGCAGTGTAGACCTGTACTTGGTCAGGAACAAAACTATCATTTCAGTTATAACTACTCAGTGATGCAAACGCAATTACACAATCACTTGAAGCCTGGAAGCTACAGAATTAGGTATCAAGCAATTTGCAACAAAAGGCTGTAGGAATTAACCATGGCTGTAGTTATCACAGAAATTCTCCTCCAGCAAATATAAATAGACAACACTAAAATATTTTTACAAAGGCCTCATCTTCTATGCAGCTATTTGCAAGGGAAAAAAACAACCCAAACATTTGTACTTCACATAATTTAACATCAATTACTGCATTAAATTCTTACAACTTTCTATCAGTCACTGATTAAAAACCAAAACAAGATTCAAGGTAGCAGACCTCAGAAATCTGAGCAATTAAGCCAGTTTAACATAGAAGTGTAAAAAGAACATTACAGAAACAAGAGCAAAGCTAGAAAGGAATCAGCATAGCAAAATGCAGACCTAATTACATTTTGAGAATGCCATCTAGTGGTTATTTTGTGCAAAACCAGGTTTCATTTTCATGAACTTCCTATTCGTGAAAATCTGAACATTAATGTACATTGAGATCATAAAGTATAAGTCTCTACAGAATCAGGCCATAATGGCTTTCACACAAAAATTCAGAGATCAATTTTCTATCAGTTAGGGAGAAGGGGGGTATCCATCTTTGTGTCAGTATGCTGACACATGGTTTCCTGTGTGTCAAATATAGCATATTTTAATTACCTGTAGGATTAGAAGTTTAAAACCGACCTCAGTCTTAATAGCAATTATATTTATTTCTAAAGGCATAATCAAGTTCCATTATCACAAATTAAAAGATGAGGGTCCAGAGACTGATTGATAGCACAGTTCACATCTTCAACAAGGACACAGGACAGAAGTAACTATAAATTTAAGTTTCTCCATACACTTAAAAAAGAACGTCATTCCTCTGCGTAAATTAACATTTATCTTCAGACACAATATTAACCAATAACCCTGCTCCTTCTGATGTACACAAGGTCAAACGCCTGCTACAGAGTACAAACCTGAAACAGGAAACCTCTCTATTCTCTGGATGTGCATGTCCTCCTAACTTTCACTGAAATCAGTTGCATCTAAAAGCACAGTACAGACAAACAGTCTTAACTATTTTCTGGAATATCAGCAGCTTTTTGTAACTGGTAAGTAACTTACTCAGGGAAGTGAGTCAATAACATTTTTTCCAATTATTTATTTCTTTCATCTGTCTGTGAAGCTTAGCCAATATCATGATTATATAAAGGTTTATTACTATGACTCTGGTAGTGGTGTGGGGTTGCACAATATGCCTGTGGCAATTTAACTTTTAATCTCTTGGATGCCTATTCCCACCCCATATTGCAGTACTCTGGAGTCTGTTTGCCTATTCAAAAAGGTAAACAGGAACAGCTTGCCCTTTTTCAGGGAAATACTAAACAAACAACTCTACAAAACTTGCTACAAAGTAAGTAATTTTTTAAAATGGTTTTACCCTTGTGCTGCTATGACACTGACTGTTTCATTACAAGTCTGACGCCAGCATTGTTCACCATTACCACCCAAGAAACGGGTTTTTTCCGAAGCCAAAACATTTGAAAGCTGAAGTCTTGCCACTCCTAGAAGTAAGTCTTTAGCTGTTTTATCCTTGTGCCACAATTCAACCAGTAGAGGTAATCTAAAACAAAGAAGTGATTTTAGTGTCAGGCATAACACAAAAGAGGAACCATTCCTATTCATTTGGGAAAAGGACCTCATGTTCTAAAAGTAACTTCTCATATCAGTGATGGTCACAATTGTTAAACAATGAGATGGGTTTACTGTCTGTCTCACAGAGGAATGAGACTGAATGACTTTGTATCTTCTCCATCACTTACTCACTTTGGTCAGATTATCGTTCCTTTCTCCAATTATTAGAAAGAACAATGCTGCAATGGAAGTGATTGACTGAATCACGTTAATGGACCTAGATCATCTTCATTTATAAATACCTATAAACAAATTTTAGTCACTGCCACTCATAGTACATCTCCATCACCTCTTCTTTCAAAACGCCACTACTGTGGTGATTCTTTATTCCACATCTTAACCAGTTATCGAAAGCTGGTGGGAGTGCTGAGAAAATTGTGCCACAGCCCTCCACACTATACTCAGGTTCCTAGGTACCTGCTGTATTTTCAAAGTTATCAGACAGTCATTGTGTATTAAAAAGAAAAATAAAATACCTATTTCATTTGAAGTAATGCTTTGTTAAAACTATGCTATTGACCTTTAATTTAACAACTTACAGCAACAGCACTTGTTTCTGCAAGCAATGATCCCTGCATAAGTACTCAAGAGATAAAAGCAAGAATTTTAGAGTCCCTGACTTTAAATATAAGTAACAAAGAAACTGGAAGAGCAGTGTATTAAATATTCACTGGCATTAGCACTTCGATTCTAGTTCTCAAACTGATGATCAAGTAAAAAATTTGAACTTGTGACTGCATTTACAACAAAAAATAGAAAAAGTGTAATTAAGATAAAAATAATGTGAGTTATCACCTAAAGAATGTATCTTGAAGCTGATGAGGTATAGTTGCAAAGTCAAATGCACAGTAGGACTGTGGAAGAAAGACTTCCATGTTCTTTCTGACTTCTACAGGTGGGCTGGTCATAATAGGCACTGCACTGCCAAAAAATGGGTAAGAGTACCTAATAAAAACAGTTAAAAGAAAATCAAATAATAATTTAATAAATATACTTTTTTCTTATACCTTCTGCAACAAGGAAACCAGTTTAGACATCTTTTACTGAAGCATGACTTGTATTAAAGTTAGTAAAATTTGCACAAATACATTCAACTATAGAATTTAGTTCTCAAATATTCATGTTTTCATTTACTTCAGCACTGATCCAGCTTCATTTATATTTGCTGTTATTTTGACAAAAAAGCTTTAATGACCTGTGTGTTCACAACCATATGAATTAATCTTTTATTAAAATTCTGCAATTACTATATAAAGTGAGGAGAGAAATAGAAAAAAGGAATATTATATTCAGATGTAGATTGCTGCTTGAGAACATTTGTAACTATATTTCAGCCAAGACTGGTCTAACACACAATAACTGATAACTAAGTATACATATACACAGTGTCAGAACTATTTGAAAAATTCAGTCACATTTGAAGAATTTAGGTTTTAATTCCCACAGTTTTAACACTAAAAGGAAAGTCAAATCATTTTACAAATATGATTTACAATGTGGCCTGAAACTACTCTACTGGAACAATTCAGTATATGATAAACTACAACAAAGGGGAAACCAAGAGCCTCTTGAACTTCACTTTGCTCAAATTGATGATGCCAGCTGTCAGCTAAGTAGCTAATAAAATAAATGCTGCATCAAATGCTGCCACTTATAAATGTTGATACTTCAACTGTTTGTGCAAAACCATTTGAAGAGCTTGATTAGACATGAATGAAATAATGCTCCCAATATAGAGTGAAAAGGCAATTTTTTTTACCCTGCAACTTTTCTTAGCATTTATGTGTTTGGATGTTTCTCCTCTTCAGTTTCTGCCATATTCATCACTGACTGTAAAAACTGAAGTGCCTGAAACAGCAAAACCTATTTGTTGTCACTGTTCTGAAACAAGTTAGTTTTTGGAACGTTATGTGAAAAAGCTTTTTATGTGACAAAATTCCATCCATTTTACGTTGTTTTCCACATACTATTTAATAATACAGCCTATACAGAAAAGCATTAATGATGCAATCTGTGTTTGTTGTGTTTTAAACTATTCCAACCCTCTACCCCAAGCCCACCTTTTCATCCTAGGTCAGCGAAAGCTTAAACTCTAAGATTCATTAACATGAATAGACTTCCTGATGACCAGTTAAAAATGTATTGAACCAAACTGTGTCAGAACAACAAATGCAAAGCAAATACAGATGCGCCTCCACAGCTACAAATATTCAACCCTTTCAAACAGAATCACCATTTAAAGGTATGTTTCATCACGTACACCAAAAGGCCCCTAAAGGAAACTAGAAGGCAAACTGTGAAAACTGCTATGAACCAGTAAGTTCACATATGCCATCAATAACTAATATTCCATGAGTACGAATCTTTTTTTTTTTTTTTTTTTTAAAAAAAAAAAATTATCCCTCTCTCTACAAACTCTTGATCCTACACTCTAGGGAAAACCTAAAACAAAACAAACAAGTTGTCAAAAGAAACTTTCTCTCTTCACTGGCAATGTTAAAAAACCAACCAAACTCCAACCTTATACAGATACTGGTTTCTATACCCTTACTTTTAATTGGTCCTTCACCTTTTTAGCTCTTATTCCTCCAACTTAGCATTCACCTCCCAGCTAACACCTGCTGATTCTCCAAAAGTGATCCCATACTTTTCTTTCATGTTGACATCAGTAACAAACTAATCTCTAAGCAATTGCTCCAGCCTAGCACTGGTAGTTTTCTACTTTTGCTTCAGACACAAAACTCACGTATCCAAAAAGCTTGTCTTTTTTTAAGTCCACAAATTAGTTTAACAAAAAATGCTACTTCTCCCTAGTAAGTTTTGCTTCTTGTATGCAAAGACTATCAAAAAACCCCTGATACTATCTCTCACAATGATAATGCATTTGCTACACTGGTTCTTCACTTTAAGACTAGACCGTAGTTCCTTTAGATTCATCATCACACACAAATGAGGCAATCTGTCTCTTATTAAAACACTACAAGGAGTTCTTGGTGGTCACATGGAAAGCTACAGAAATCACTCCTTCGATCAGATGCAAAGGCAGCCAGAAAGTAAGGAGACGAGTAATCCTTTTCCTCTAAGGACTGAATGATGATCTATATTGTCTGAGGTCAGATATTCAAGTGAGATTTAACACAAATTACAGTGCAGGTTAAGTGTTACATACTATCTTTAATGCTGTAACACTCAGAAGTTTAATGATGAGCCAGATGAACATTCCGAAGTATTTCGCTACTGAAAGTCAGCTACATAAAAGGTATCAGGCAGCATGCTGCCAGCAACCATTCATATTATGAAGGCTTTGTATTCAAAAGAAAAATACTGTTATTACTAAGAATAAGACCAACAAAATAAGCCATACCTTAAAATGCAATTAATTGGAAAACCAACTTTCAGACCACGTAGACTTCGTAAGTCTATTGAAAAGCAAAAATGGTGAGAGGCTGCTGGAATGACAATTTTCTGTGCTGACACAGGCTCAGAAGAACTGGATGCACCCACAGGGTTGGGCTGAGATGCAGCTACTGGACCATTATCAGCTGAAAACACAGAAGAGCATTTGTGCACATTTTTAATAATTTGTTCTGCCCAAAATAACAAAATATATTAAAGATAGGTCTCACATTTTAAATGCAAGTATAGATAGGTTGCTTCCCCAAGAGATTTCAATTCCTTGTAATATAAGCTAATACTATGAAAAATAGTCACTCTATTTGTAAGTTACTGCTTCCAAAGAAAAAACACCAAACCCCCAATAATCTTTAAATCTTCTTAAAAGATTCTGTAATATTTTTCCCTTTTTTTTTATTACTCTTCAAAGGTATGTGTGTTTATCTCACTGAAGAAAAGTTTAGATTAAGATCCAAGATATTAAATTCTTCAGAAGGATGATATAAGACTTCAGTTTCAAGAGTTTACATAATTGTTCCTAGCCAACTTGAGGGCATACAGAAGAGGGGGGCTTACAAAAAAAAATCATTTGTGGGAACTTAGCTTGCTTTGAATTAACTAACCTCTTTAGTTGGGGACTGAAAAAGACAGAGCATCAGGTCAATTACAGTGCTCATGTAAGGCAGCATCAACTATTGGTCCCAAGCTGAGGTTTAATTATTGAAATAAACAAAAAGGCTCTAGCTAGGTCTGTAAAGCACATCTGCTTATGCCCTTTGATCAGAACTCACCTACTGTGACATCCATTTTATAATTTAGAAAGCAGAAGCTACAGTGAGTGCCTGTCCAGTTGCATCCAGGCTTCTCAAGTCCTTGCACTGGGACCCAGTACTGCCTTCAAAGAGTAAAAGGTCAAACTAAGAGTTTTACAGACAGGGTCTTCAAAAGGTATCCTCCAAAAATGTTTAAGATAGTAAAGCAGAGAAAGAGGCAAAGAAACTGTCAGAGAACTCAAATGCCTTTTGTAACTGCTAGTTGTTCTGATCTTCTTCGTAATTATCTAAAATATTTCCATTTTTGTCATTTTTAAAGAAATACATCATTGCTAGCATTGACTTTATTTTTTTCCTGCTTGTTTTTGAGTGTTTTATTAGCATTAATGGTAACGATACAAAAAGAAAAATTCAGTAATACTTCAACATTAGCTAGATAGCACAACATAGGAATGATAGTTTTCAGTGATTCAGGTAAAACGTCACTAGATTGCTTGGTGCAGTGAAATGGCTGAATAGAAGCTTAAGGCTGTCACAGACAAGAAAACACAAGTTGCGTGCAGCCTACTGTTAAAATTCATCTAAGCTGTACTAAGTTGTACTATATTCAGATTTCATTCAATATACTAAAGTTGATAAATTTTGCATTACTGGAATGTTGCAGATCTGACAATAGAGGTGACTTTGCTCTGCTCTGCAATTTGAAAACTGGAAGCTCTTCGGTATACTCTTTGTTAACCTCTTGGCAAGATTCAGCCACCAGCCCTGAAAGATGAACAGGAAATGACATGTTTTACACCTCACCAAACCAGAGAGTTATAAAATTATTATTACTATTAACAAAAACAGCACAATCCTGGATTTCTTAATCACAGATTCAAACTAGCTGCTGGGCTTACAATGCTTTTTCTTGACACATTCCATATAAAGGACTTAATCCTTGCTTAGATAAGATCAGTTAGGATTAAAAGAAAATTTGGCTGAACTAGCAGGCAAATCCTGAAAGCATGTTCTAGGACACAGATTTTCCTCTACAGAACTGCATATCTTTAGGACCAATCTCAAAAGAACAGTTATACAAATATCATTCAAGAAATGATTATTTGGCTTTATTCATAAATCATCTCTTAGGAAGATGCCTGTTCAGTAACATTTAGTGAACTAACATTCTTTTTTCTGAGCTTTACTCTAGCATTATAGCATTTCTTCCTCTCTCATCTCTGTTCCTCTTTGAGTTCTCCCCAACCCAGTCCTCAAATCAAAAACAAAACAAAGGAAACCTTAGAAGGTTACGTGGGCTACCAAGTCCCTCCAAAAGGATAATGTAAAAACAAATAAACAACAAACCCAGTTGCTTGGTTTTGTCCAGGAATCTGCAGTGTGAACATCTGTTTTCTCAATTTATTATCCACAGAGTAAATTCCTTAGAAATCTTAAAAATCCCACATTTCCCCTGCCTTTCTATTTAATAAATGTGAATGTTAGACCATTTCATATCCTCATTGAGCAAGTCAGTTTCTTCATGGGTACTGTACTGAACATTCCCATTCCCAAATTCCAGGAAATTCCAAACATTTCTGGTATTATTTTTCAAGCTGATGAGCATCCACATCACTTGTAATCTCCACACCACCAAATCCCCAATCTGGCTCATCACAGCATTTTGAAAAACCACTGTGTTCAAATTAAAACATTTATTCTCCTCCTGTTACTTGTTTTATGTAAAAAATTCTTAATTACCTGAAATTCATCACCACAAATGAGTAGTACAAGATGCAAGACTACACTTGACAACTGGGGAAAAAAACTTATATAGCACATACCCTTTTTCTTTAGTTTCATGCCTTTTTCAAACTTAAGAGTTTCCACTTCACTTTCTGTTGCTTCATCTTCTATTGAAGAAGAATGGTCAGCTTGAGACAGGACTTCCTGGGATCTCTGCTGCAGGCTCTCTATTTTCCCACTAGTAGGTGAAAGAACTTTCTCCTGTGGCTGTTTAGGTTCAGTTGGAGCATTTAAGGGAATCAAAGGCTAAATGAAGTGATACAGTTTTCTTATTGATCATAGCTTGCACTGAAAAATTCTGTCTACAACATTTCTATAGTTTGAGATGATTTTTCCAATGTAGAAAAAAAGAAGCAATGAAAGGTTTATTCATATAAAGCAACTGACTCACTCAGGTTTTCTTTTACATACTTAACTGTCAAATATGGCTTAGAAATACAGGGGTTTTTAACATGAAACTGCAACAGTGTCTATACCAACAATAAACAAGTATGCTATACCTGGGTATTCAAGCTCTCCCTTTGCAGAATTATAGACACCCCAACAGCAGGAGCCATATCCAAAGGCAACTGCGGCAGTTTCTGTTTAGCTCTATTTGGTGGAACAAGGACAAATGCTCCTTCTATTGCCACAGGGTGTTGATCAATCTCAGCATTTCCTTTCTTCAGTAGTCCAGACAGGGGTATTTCAGTGCTTCCAAGAGACTGGTCCCCACAGCAAAGATGGATCTGTATACATACAGAAGCGCTAGAGAGTAACCAGCATTGCATTTCCTCTTGAACTGTCTGTTCACTCTCTACTAAAGGTAGCATAAATACAACAAATTAAAATGATCATCCCTAGTCCTGTCCCTGTATACAAGAACACTTGTTCTGAGCAGTAGAAGAACAACTACAAAATTTCGGTATTGAGCAGGTTGGATTTGCTAGCACAGTAGCAGATCACTGCACTGCCCTTCTGAGGGCCTGTCATATCATCCCTTCTGGAGGACAAATTCAATAGTTTGTGCCTTCTAAACACAGCACAGATTCTTGTCCTTGATGTATAGCCATATAAAATGCATGACTGCAAGGTAAAGAGAAAAAGTTATTTGAAAGCTCAGCCTTTGTGCCTATACTTAGACACCATTTAAATAGCAAGGATTTTTGGTATTAAGTAACTGTGTTCTTAATTCTTGACAAGAATCATTATTCGTTTTTCAAAACTTGACTGAACTCTTTCTTCCTTCCACAGCTTAATATTTATACACCTAAGTAAAAGAGAGATCTTAAAAAACCCCAAAACACACTCTAAGGTAATTTATTTTCCTCAGTGAAAGTTACCCTTTGAAACTTACATACCAACTTGCTCTGTCCCAAATAAGAGTGACTTCAGTTCTGTTTCAGCAGATCAGAACACTGTATTCTGATTCTTAGTATTTATTACACTTAATGAAGACTTCAATGCTAAAAGTTGTCACCTGCCAATATACACACCTGCGTGTGTATATATATGTACAAACACACACACATATACACAAATACAATCATACACAATATATATCCCCCACTCCCCCCCAGTCTGGCAGCTAGTACTTTTTATGACTAAAGTCTTCATTTTCAGAAAAAAAATATATTAAATATTAAGGAACAAAATACAGTGCTCTGATCCTATATCATAAATTTTAAAAAGCTGAGTGAGAAGTCAGAGAAAGAAAACTGTAAATCAAGGTGTAGATCTGACCTCATGACAACTTTTGTTCAAAAAGTCATTCTTGAACATGATGAAAACATGTGTAATTATCTGTATGTGTACATATAGGTAATATATGCTATTTTACATACTTTGTTTCAAGACCATAGACTAAGATTAAATGCCAAACACATCAGTGCATAAGTTTCTCCAAAAACTGTCATTAGAAAAACACTTGAAGTTGAGACAAAAAAATTCTGAAACAATGTAAGATCTAAATAGAAACATTCTTAAACTAATCCGGATAACAAAACTAGAATGGTCTGTACAAGTTTAGAAAAAAACCCAAACTTTAAAAGGGTCCAGTTCCAAGACTTCATATAACAAACACTGTCATATTTACCAGCTATGTTATTAGAAACCCTATACTACACTCAACTAGTCTCTTTTTTAATAATGACTTAAGTGTGAGCCATACAGATCGCCATAAACACTTTCAATACTACCCAATATTTAGAATCATAGAATCATTTAGGTTGGAAAAGGCCCTTAAGATCATTGACTCCAACTGTAAAGCTAACACTGCAAACTCCACCACTAAACCACATCCCCATTTAAAGGAATAGCTAAAGATAAGCAATATCCCCTAACAGCCCAAATACGGCTGTAGTATATTTTAAAATCATATTTGGCTAAGGAGTGGGGAAAAAAGCCAGACCTCCCTTATCATTCACAAAGCATGCTGAGGACAGTGATTTTGGAACTTAGGCAAGAGTGACCTGAGCAGCTGGTGTGGCTGAGGTCACAGGCAGCATGAAGCAAGACTGTGGGCTGCATATGGTCTGATTGCAGAGCAGGTCCCACAGCTCAGAGCTCTTGAGAATGCCACAAGTTCTTTGGGAATATAATGTTTCAGCAATACCTTTCGTCATGACATGTAACGCAGCTTACTATAGCAACCATACTAAAGAGACTGTGCTCCATCAGAGCTAGGAAACTTGCTGCTAGGGTTTCCCTCAAATCAGCAAGAGAATCAACTTATATTTGAGCCAAAATACTGTAATACAACCCAGTTTTGGAAAGAGAAATGCTTTGCAGTTTCAGCTGAAGCCATATTCCATTTATTTTATTTTCATTATTTATTTTCATTCACATTTGAGAAGAAACGGCTTACCTGCAATTTTGACTGTGCACAAAGATAAGCTTGCAGGACATCAGCTGTACTACGTATTCGAACTGAAGCTCTTTCTGGCTCAAAGTTTGGATTAATTAAGTCAGTGAAAGGTTCATTTGTGACATCATTTCCCAGTAATGAGTAGTAGAAAAAAAACTCAGGCTGTCTTTCAGGAAGCTTCATAGTACTAGGAACTAACTAAAAGAGATACAGAGAAGAAGAATGTATCTCTTTCATTAATGTACAGTTAAAGTAATCCTTAAGCATTAGCTTGGAAATTAAAGAGCTTAAAGTGATCTCAAACTACCAAGCAGCTGACTGGTATCCTAGCTTGCACTACACACAGAAAATAAAAAGAAAACTTTTATATTCTTACTCAAACTGAATCAAAAAAGAAACATCTTACATTACAAGCATACCAGTAACTTGTAAAATGACCCATTTTTAACTACCTTTAAGATTTATCAGCACCAAGGGCTGTAACTGACATCATAGATTCAATATCAAGCTCTGCACAAATACTCAGAAATAAGCAGTGCCTCCACAAAATATTTATAGTGTAAATAAACAGTGCAGATTAGATACCAAGTTACTGTATAACTTCTGTGATTGAACAAAAGACTGGAACAGCCAGAAACAGCTACTTCCTCCTGCAGCCACTGCAACTGTGAGTTCAATGCCTAAAAAGGTACAAGGTACCCCAGAGTGATCACTGTAAATTTACTTCACAAAGCCTTATAATTCTGATGTGGAGAATTATCTTCTCTGAAAAAAGATGAGAAGACTGAGGAGAGTTTGTCATGCACTGTGATAAAATTATATAAGGTCAATTAAAATCATGCTGGCTTGGAGTCATGACTTTCACAGTAACTTGGGCATGCCTATATTTTTTAAATCAGACAATGTGTATCAGTGTGCTACAGTACAGCATAAACACAGCAGCTGAGGTCTAAAGCTGAAATAATCACATTAGCATGGCATTTCATCCAAGCTAATAAGTCCTTCCCTTAGGCAACACAGAATCTCTACTGTTTCACATATCGTACGGATCTGAAAGGTATTTCGTTTGAACTTCAGCACATGGGCATCACACTGAAAACTGATATTATCCATACACATACTTTTTATACTATATTGTAATATAAATCTGTGCATTTCACAAAAGTGCATAATTTAAAGTAAATGCAGTTTTAGTGCTCCAAAAGGATTCTGATCTTTCATCTGTAATTTGACATGTAAGCATTACATAAAGTTTTAAAATCCAAATTAATGTATATTAATTCAATATGGGACAAGGCTATTTATTGCAAGAAACTTCCAAGACAATAAAAAATCCTAACTATAAATAAGGCATGGGAGGGAAAAAATACAAACATAGGATAGTACTTCTTAAAAAATACACATAGCAAAGAAACAAACCTGTTCCAACTGTGTGGCAAATGCAATGGTTACAGACAGGACAAAGTAGTCTCTGCAATACTCTGCTGGTCCAATTTGATGATAGCCCTCTTCTTCATTCAAGATTGGTACAATACTTTTAGGGTCTAGTCCAGAAAGATGGGCAAATGCTCAGAGAGAAGAAAAAATTAAGTAACTTTTGACCTTATTAATTGATGGAAGAATCTTTATATATAGTTATAATTTTACCCTTAATTATTGTACATCTAGGAAGAAAAATTACAATAAAGATCTTGATGCTTGGTTCCAAAGCATTTCAACACAGAGAAATCCTTAAGTATACTTAGGTATAGCTACAGTGGGCACAGATGTTATTTTGAACACTATGCTAGACAGAATGCTAGTGCATACTTTTCTTTAATGTTACAGTGAGTAACATTACATTGACTGGAACTTCATTTCATTAGGTTAGAGTCTACCATGCTGTTTCTTTATTGTACTCATGAAAGGAAATGCAAGACAGTAACTGCACAGGACAACTTGTTCAACTATTGAAAGAAGCATGATGTCTCACTCCACAGACCTCTGGAATGTTTCATTTAAAGATTTTTCATCTGAAGTCTTCAGTGCATAAAACACTGTTTGTATTCTGGTTTAGTAGTTTCTACTCTACACTCCCAGTAATTCAATACATTTCAAAGCACCTCAGTTACACCAAATAGGAATAACCACACAGCACTTTTAGTTATGAACGAAAAGGCTCCATTTCAAACACTGGAAACTTTAGACCACTTAGGTCAGTGAAACAAACAAAAAGATAAAAATCAAAGCGTATGAACCCTAAAAGGAAAACATCTCCTTAACTATTTGACTAGACTAGAACTGGGTAGTCTAGCTTTGTCATACCAATGCTTGGAACATTAACTTTAAACCTGCAATAATCTACATGGGGTTTTTTCCTCCATTGCCTAAATATGGTATTGACTAATCTGGAGATGACAAAAGAAAGGGAAAGCTGGCAAACTTGTTTGTAACAATTATTCCACAGAAAGCATGAAGGGGAAGACAGTGCTAGGTGAAGGCAAAAGGGATTTCTTGTATTTTCTGCCAGTGTCATGAGGGGTAGGAGAGCTTGTGGGCAGAAAGATCACAAGGGAAGTGTAGATTAACAAATCATTTACAGTAGTTCCTTGCCTCCTTCACAAACTTTACAGCATGCACAATTCCCTGTGCTTTGTTGTGAACCTGAAAGGATGGAGTAAGCTAGGCAATTACACTGAAACTTCAATACTGCCTTGACCACTCTTGCAATGCAGCCAAGTCGTTGAAGTCTGGGCCAGAAACGTAGTGAAACGCCTACTGCCACTGACAAATGAAAATATTGCACTACTTTATAATTCCAAGCCCGAAGTACTGAAACTGCATTCTGTAAAGAAGCTCCTTTCTTATTTCTTTCGTTACAGAACTTTCTAAAGCCCTGAAATATGAGTAAAATGCCACAGAAGTAAGCTATGAGTCCCTGATTCTGATTTTAAAGATCAGTTTGTTTGCAATTCCACCCACCTGAAAGTCACACAATTACCACAGTAAAGCATCCTTGTAAAGTTATTACCACAAGGTACATTAATCAGCTGTAAAGGATTTGCATTGGAAATGCTATGAAATTAAAATTCTCTTGAGACTTAAACCAACACATTTGCAACAAGTGATACACTCATCTGGCACAGGAAGATTTTTAATTCAAAGTGAGTGATATTATGTTACTTACCCTTCCCTTCTCTAGGGGGTGCATCCTTTGCTTTAAAACCATCAACCAGTGCTTTTGAATCAGTCTCCAACACAACACCTACTTGTATTTCAGATTTAAATTTAGTGTACTTGTTACTAAGCAGAGGATACCATTTTGGTGCCTACATAATTAAAAACAAAAATAAAACCAAAAGCATTTAAAAAACCCAAGACAATAATATACTATTGTTACAGAAAAATGAAACTTGCTCTAGCATTTCTACTTCTTCATCTACAGAAATATACCTTGGTTTTTATTTCCAAAAATTCGGTCTAGTTTGAGTAGACTATTATACTAAAAGATTCTATAGAATGATTTCTGGATGACTAGCTGAACATACTCTTTTCCAAGTTAGCAAGAAAAATATGCCATAAATCTTTAATTAGAAGAAAAGAATCTTCAAGTTCTCCACTGAAAGTGCACAGTAAGTTATATGGTTCACAAATCCTTAGGAAGTGTGATGTCAAAATAAGACACCAGGGTCCTGTTATGACCCATAACAGACTTATGTTTTGATCAAGAACAAGGAATTTTGATTAATTAGATTCATATAAACTATTCTATTATGTTTATTCTATGTTGTGTTAAGGGGCTAGAACTTCAGATAATGTAACACATCTTCTGTTGAGGCCCATAAAAGCCTTAAGACTTGATTTGATGATGGACACTCAATTCAATTGCTCAGTATCAACTGCTTTGATAATTTTTTCCAGGCAATTAAATCACGGAATTGCTTAAAAGTATTGCTTTACAAGTGTTCCAATTCTCAAATTCAAAAGTGCAAGGTTACTACAAAAGTATTTTCATTTGCCCATGTTCTCATGTAAAGTCAGGATGTCTCTCCTCTTTAATAAATAAAAGAAGAAAAAAAAGAGACAAGTACACAATCAACTAGGAGTCATGCTTCAAAAGAAGACTCCAAAGCTTTGCCTGTGCCTTAGTTAAAATTCTATCTGTAACAGTACTGTTGTCAAAACATAAGTTTTTAAAGCTTTATACCCCATAACATACCTGTTTCTTTTCCTGCACAGCTCTTAAATCAAGTACAATATAGCCTATATTCTCTTTAGCTGAAGATACAGGATCCAATGCAAAACACTGGAGTTTGATAGGCGTACGCTGCAGCCTAAAAGAACAACTCAATTGAAATCCAAAAAGTAAAATTTATCTCTGCAATTAGTTCACAAAAAAAATTCATAAGTTTCAAGCATACCAATGATACAAAGTTTGTTACATAACTAGTTTTAGTAGGTCAGAAACTGAGTTTATACTGAACATTTAAAAAATCATCATTAACTGAGTGAACAAACAAGTGGATTAATTTTGTAAGAAAAGTGTATTGCAGTTTCACAGAGCCTCAAGTGCTATTAAAAAGACATTAGTGACAAATAAATTCAATCTCATCCATGTACAAGAAATAAGCACTGCACCTCACAGGAAATGGGAATTTCACTTTTGAGGGTATCTTAAAAATAGGACTTATGAAACAGATTATTGTGCAAAGCACCTAACAATACTTAGAGGCACAAATAAGGTTTCTAGCATAAGGTATATTTAGGCATTTTTCTTTCGTCAAATGTCAAAGATAATATGGCCTTTTTAACTTCTTTGAAAATACAGAGGAAACGCAATCTGTCAGTCAAAACCAAATGACAGTTACGGAAACCTTACTTAATTTCTCAGCTCTTCTATTTGACATTTCCAAAAATATTTTACATAGGCTTTTCAGGCTTGAAGTTAAGTTAATTCTGTATCACAGTATACATAAGAAAGCCCGAATCCAATGCTTGAACTATAGCATTATTAATTTGCTGTAAGCTGTTGGGTTTATTTCAGTAGTGTAAAGACATACCCTTTAGAATTTTTAAACATCGCTTATTTTGCCACGTACTACTTTTCTTAGTTGTGGCAACATTATGGTAGATCAGCATACAGCTAAAAGAAAGTTTCTAAAAAAAATAATCAGATTACAGTAATAAAAAAATTGTATTTCAATAGCTGTAAACACAAGAAAATGAAATTTTATCTCCAAATCAGACTTAACTTTCTGATGTTACCTGTGCTGATGAAGTGCTTTCCTATCAAGTTCCCAAGCCAATTCTGTAGCAAATTCTGGCTGATCGGTATGCTCTACAGGATCAGTAGCCAACTGTTCACCATCAAACTTGGCTTCAACTACAAGCACGTGCTTGGGTCGTTTTGGAAAACAGCGTCCTGTAAAAGAATGTAATTGCCACACACCATCACTAAAAAAAGAAATGAGAGCTCAAATTCATGCCATAAATCAATTACATAAAAATACATTTTCCATATCATCTTCCCTGCGCTTACTCTAAAGCTATGTTCTTCATATTTAAAAAATAATGTCATCCCACTATGCAGAAGAAAGAAAGGAAAACACAACATGAAACAGGCTATTTGTGAAGCATCCAGAAATAGCAAGACATTAAGAACAAAGAACAAGGAGAGAAAGAAACTAGGCAACTAGTATGATTTCATTTTGAGAAATCTATGATTGAGAATAGATCAAGTGAACAGGTGAGAGGCAGAGATTGAATGCTTTACCTCTACTGCAGAGTTTATCACTGTCCCACTCCCACCCAGATCAAAGCAGCAAAACACGATCTAATGAAAGCAGTGAAAGGTATTTTTCCAATTGTTAAAAAAAAAAATAAAAAAATCACTCCTTGTCATGGTTTAACCCCAGCCAGCAACTACGCAGCACACAGCCACTCACTCACTTCCCCACCCACCCAGTGGGATGGGGGAAAGAATCAGAAGGAAAAAGGTAAAACTCATGGGTTGAGATAAGAGGAGTTTAATAGAACAGAAAGGAAGAAAAAATAATTACAACAATAATAAAATTACAATATTAATAAAAGGATCGGAATATACAAAACAAGTGATGCACAATACAATTGCTCACCACTCACTGAGTTGATGCCCAGTTAGTTCCCGAGCAGTGATCCCCCAGGCCAACTCCCCCCAGTTTATATACTGTGCATGACGTCACATGGTACGGAATACCCCTTCGGCCAGTTTGGGTCAGCTGTCCTGGCTGTCCTGTGCCAACTTCTTGTGCCCCTCCAGCTTTCTCACTGGCTGGGCATCACAAGCTGAAAACTCCTTGACTTAGTCTAAACACTACTGAGCAACAACTGAAAACATCAGTGTGTTACCAATATTCTTCTCATACTGAATCCAAAAAATAACACTATACCAGCTACTAAAAAGAAAATTAACTCTATCCCAGCCAAAACCAGGACACTCCTAGATTAGGAGAGTGCCTAAAGCTGTACAGAATTTGTCCTGGGTCCAGCATCACCCAGTGTTCTGATTAATAATTTAAACGACAAAATGAAGTGAACATCTTTAAAATTTACATGTATCTCAGTGTGGGGAGGGGCTACACGCATGTCAGAGGACAGGATCTTATTTTAAACCCACCTTGCCAAACTCCATGAATGGACAGAGATCATAGGATTTACCTGACAAAGTGAAAGCACTCAGCCAAAAAAAGAAAACAACCAAACGACCCAAACAACCCAAACCCCCACACTCACACACTAACTACACCTCAGAAAACATAATCTGTAGGAATACAAGATGAGGAATGATCAGCTAGGTATTCAAGTCAACGCTAAAATGAGGTTTACAGTACATTGGTAACAGGGGATAGAAACACCAGAACATCTACCTAAAAAAAAAAAAAAAGGAGGGGGGTGGGCAGACACGTGAAACGATCCTGATCATCGTAAGACGTCGGCTGGACTCCAACGTTTTGGTCCAAAGCTTTCTCGAAGTGTGGCCCAGCTGAAAACACTCCACAGCCAGCCAGCGAGAACCGGGCCTCCACAGCCGTAAGGAAGGGCTAGCGATGCTGCTGCCTGTAGCTTAGGGAGGGAGAGAGGACTAACGCCATGCGGGGCGCCTTCGCCTGCATACGGGCTTGATCCGGCCGGAACGGCGGCGAAGGGTTCCCTGCACCCGCGGGGAGCGGCAGCGGTACGGGGTTTTAACGGCAACACGGGCTAGGCGAGTTTTGCAACGCAAAAGAGACAGATTCCCCGCGCCCCCGGAGAAGAAGGATGCTTTCGTCGTTCATTTCAAATAATGTTTTGGGAAATACGCCCGGAAACAAACCGGGGGTGGTCCACCCTGGCTTTAAGATACGTACGCCCACAGCTTTATTAATACAGCCAGTGTATTAGATGCAGCTTGGCTTATCCCGCTCACTCCATCACAGAAAACACACCCGGAGGCAGCGACCACCCCCACTTTCCGCCCAGGACGGAGAGGACGACCAGCAGCCGGGAGGCCGCCACCCCGTTTACCTTCCAGGACGGAGACGACGATCAGCAGCCGCTCGCCGGCTCTGGAGACCATCTCCCCGCTCCGCCCGGGGGCTGCCGGGCCGGAGGACGGGAAGCGCAGCCGCTCACAGAGCGGAGGACGGACCGGGAGCCCCTCCCCCCCCCGGCCCGGCCGGGCCCTGCCGCCACTCGCCACCCTTTTACCGCCTCGGAGCCTTTAAACGCCAACCGCCGCCTGCCGCCTCACTTCCGCCTAGCAACGGCGGCCCCGCCTGCCGCACAGCGCGCCGCTTCCGACGCGGGGCGCGGCGG